TCCAGGTACCACTGCTCGTGGAGGTGGTTTCATGATGTCAATGCGAGAGCTCTCTCCCATTGACATGGAGTGGCTACACAAGTAATAATCTTAGAGCAGTGGTACAGCTGTGCCGCTGTAAGCTCCCTAGTGTAGACATGGCCTTAGTGAATGCACTGATGTTTACTTGCTCCAATTTACTGCCATACATTGTAGTACTAGGCATGAACTAAACATGTTGCAGTGGAAGGAAGAAATTATGGCTGAGAAAATTTTAGCCCAAGCCAGAATGTACCACATGTTGGCCTGAACCTGAAGACGGTCATTTATAACATTAAAAATAAGAATGGTTTCTAAAAACATTTTCAAGGCATTTTTGCACCTTGGATAAAAGGGTAACTAACATGTCACACCCATGATTTCTGAGGTCTGGTCTACACTACAGACCTATATTGGTATAACTATGTCACTCAGGGGTGTGAAAAATCCACACACCCCCTGAGTGACATAGTTACACTGACCTACGCCCCTTTATAGACAGTGCTATGTCGGCGGGAGAGCTTCTCCCATTGACAAAGGCAATGTCTATACTACATAGTTAAGTTGACTTAAGTTACCTTGACGTACAGCCACTGCTGTAATTAAACCGCTGTTGCATGTCCACACTAGCTCCTTCTGTTGGCGGAGCCAGCGCATCCACAGTAGCAGCTCTTGCATTGACACAGAGCAGTGCACTGTGGGTAGCTATCCCACTGTGCAGCTAGCCGCAGGTTGTTTTGGGAAGGGTTTGCAATGCCTCATGGGGGCAGGTTCAGCATCACAGGATGCAGGTTTCTCAATCCCATCATTCCATGGGCATCACACTAGGTTTCCAGCTGATTTTCAACTTCCCCGGATAACCTGCGAGCCAGCCATCCAGAGGTGAAAGTAAGCCGGTCCGGTCCGGCATACCGGCAAGAGCCAGTACACCGTGCCAGACTGTACCGGCTTCCGCAACAGTGATTTAAAGGGCCCAGGGCTCCAGCTGCTGCGGGAAGCCCCAGGCCCTTTAAAGCACCGCCGGAGCTCCAGCAGCCAGGCTCAGGCAGGGAATTAAAGGGCCAGGTGCTCCTGCTGCTGCGGGGAGCCCCGGGCCCTTTAAAGCGCCGCCGGAGCTCCGGTAGCCGGGCTCGGGCAGGGATTTAAAGGGCTCAGTGTTCTGCTACAGAGATCCCCAGGCCCTTTAATTCACCCCTGAGCCCCGGGGCTCCCAGCCACCTCTGAAGCTGCTAGCTCCAGGATGATTTAAAGGCCCTGTAGCTCCCAGCCACAGCGGGAGTCCTAGGGCTTTTAAATCTTGAAAAGCCTCCACCTCTTCCGGTTGAGGCCACGCCCCCGCTCTGGACTCCGCTGTAAGGGTAAGTCCTTTAAGTTACTTTCACCCCTGCAGCTATCTCTGCCAGAAAGCATGGATCCTGCACTGCCCTTCTGTATTGTTCTGTGAGTTATGAACTCCAGGCTATAAGAGGAGTGCAATGGGGGTGGGGCTATTCATCACCACGCTGACCCCAGACCCCTCCTTGTAGAAGTGACATGTCTGCAGCTGTGCACCAGAAAGCAACTACTTGCCTCCTGCTGTGCCTGCCACAGCTCTTTGAGTTTTACACGGCACTGGTGCTTGTGTCCCTACCATAGCCCTTCCCCTCCATTCCCCAAGCAAGTTCCTGCGACTGGAGCGGAGCTGTACCTGCACATGCAAGGGGACGCATGCAAGGGCAATACTATCTCAGGGCTAAGGTGCTTAATTTTTGCACCTCTGGGCTTGGCAAGTCATCTTCCACGCCCCCTCTGCGGGCTGGAGGCAGGGGAGCAAGGAGCAAGGATAGGTGCCCACATGACTCTACGTCAGTTTCCCCACGTGGGTGCAAGAAAGGGGTACAGGATAGGGGTACAGGGTGAGGGGCGCAGGTGAGGGTGAGTGCTCTCTAGCCACGCAGCCAGTGCTTAATTTTTGCAGGGACTTGCTTCTTTCATACATGGGCTATAAGCTGCAGACAGCTGCTTCTCCGCTTTCAAGATCCTATATTCCGTCTTCCCTCTGTATACAGAGAAAGGGGAGGTGATATAGATCAAGACAGGCAGCAAAATCCCCCATGCTCCTATCCGTGCAGTTAAAGCAGCCAAACAATTTAGGAAACCTCTCCCGATGGGCAGTCGGAGGGGGAGGTAGCTGCTTCTGCAAAGTAAGTCAGGAAGCCACACTGACCTACTGTGCTGAAGCCTTCCAGAGGCTTGGCTGCTTAAACAGCAGGGATCACGGATAGGAGCATGGGGGATTTTGCTGCTTGTCTTGATCTGTATCACCTCTCCTTTCTCTGTATACCGGGCGGGAGGTGGGGAGGGAATATTTAGTCTTTCTTTCTACGGGGAGAGGGGTGGACTTAGCTGTGAGTTGGTCTATGTGACACTTCTCTCTCTTTGGGAATGGGGATTTTTTGTGTCTCTGAAGTACACGCAGGAATCTCATTATATCCGCATCTGATCGGCAAACATGGTGGACAATACAATTGCATCCTCCGATATAAAGTGGATATCCGTGGATTTGCAGGGCTCTAGTGCTCCTGAATTCTGCACAGTCCTCAGTAAGTTTTATATCATAATATATTAGCATTAAGAAGTTGAGATTAGGTAATATGGAAATAATATATAAATTATATTATATAATGTCATATTCTCATCATAAGGAAATGTGCTCAATTTTGGTCACTTAATCTTTTTAAAAAAGGGGGGGACATAGGAGAAGTATATTATCACATTAAACTTTACTTTTTAAACATATTATCTGTATTTATTTTATTGGTATTCACTGTTTGCATTTTGTGCAATTCACATAAAAATTATGAAGAAAATAGATAACTTGTTGCTGAAGAAAACACCCAAATGTTAAAATGTTTGAGTCTTTCCCCAAGACTGACCGTTCCAATGATCTATCTATGGTTTCCTGTTTGCATCCCTACTCTGTTTTCTTCTGTCACGGAGAAAGAAATACAAGCATATTTAAAATGAAAAATATGGCTTCTAATTTTGAATTATTAAACCAAATTAATCTTTGTGTAACCCCGAGTGCCCGAGGGTTATTTCAGAGACAAATTTGATCCATGTTTTGTTTTCTGTACAAGGTATCATTGATTTTAGTAAACCAAAGAGCCACTAATGTATGTTCCACCAACCGGAGGTGCCTTCTGATCTATTGGGATGGGGGAGCAAAAAATGAGGAAAAAATAGAAAGGCATTAAAAGTACACAATCTATTTTTTTAATAAACTGGGAAAGGAAAGAATAGAAAGACAGTAGAGGAGATGACATAGATGAACCAAAACAGAAAAAGAAATAAAATGGCCCTTTCTTTTTTAACGGTTTAGTATCACTGATATACAGTGTGTGATGAATGTTTAGTATGCCATTGACATGCTGATTCTACCAGTCATATGTACCATCTTTAAGGCTTTAGAGCCTTAGGGTATGGCCACATAGCAATAGACACTTGCAGCTGGCCTGTGCTAGCTGACTCAGGCTCACAGAACTCCGGTTGAAGGGCTGTTTCATTACGAGAAGTGGGCTGTAGTCCACCAAAGCTTATGCTCTAATAAATTTGTTAGTCTCTAAGGTGCCACAAGTCCTCCTGTTCTTCTTTTTGCGGATACAGACTAACACGGCTGCTACTCTGAAACCTTGTATAGACTTTCAGGCTCAGGCCGGAGCCCAGGCTCTAGGACCCTGCGGAATGGGATGGTCCTTGAGCTCAGGCTCCACTGCAAGCCCAGAAATCTACTCAGCAATGGCACAGCCCCACAGCCTGAGCTCTGCGAGCCCCAGTCCCAGCCATGAGGTGTTCTTTGTTCTGTAGACATACCCTTAGCTGTAATCCGCCTTGCCTTCTCATTTAGAGCAAATTCTGAAAACCTTTACTCATACAAGTTGTCTCAATGATGTAAATTAAACTATTCACAAGTAATTAATCTCAGGAGTAAGCATACTTCCATTACCCTAATGTTTATAGCAAGTATATACTATCAAAGACAGTAGAACCTCAGAGTTACAAACACCTCGGGAATGGAGGTTGTTCGTAACTCTGAAGTGCTCGGAACGCTGAACAAAACATTATGGTTGTTCTTTCAAAAGATTACAACTGAACATTGACTTAAGACAGCTTTGAAACTTTACTATGCAGAAGAAAAATTCTGCTATTAACCATCTTAATTTAAATGAAACAAGCACAGAAACATTTTCCTTGCCTTGTCAATTTTTTTTATGAACTTTCCTTTTTGTAGTAGTTTACGTTTAATACAGTACTTGTGCTGTATTTGCTTTTTATTTTATTTTTTTGTCTCTTCCACTGCCTTATTGTGCACTTCTGGTTCCAAATGAGGTATATGGTTGACCAGTCAGTTCATAACCTTGTTGTTTGTAACTCTCAGTTTCTATTGTACATGTTTAAGAATGGGGGCTATTAAACTCAACCAGAAAAAAAGCAGTATACAGCAGGAAACTTTTTTTTTTAAATCATCAGTGACAACGTACATTACTGTTAAATCCCATTTGGTTTGGGGAACACCTCAATCTTTTGACTAACCAGGTGTTTGGATAAATGAAAGTGCTATTTTGAGGTGCAGTATCACTGTTATAGAAATACAGGGAACAGAGGGAGTAATGGTGATGTTAGCTTAATACTTTGTACTTTATTAAAAAGAGTAAAAAAATAACTTTCTTGAGATCTGCTATACAAAATACAAAGCTGTTGATTAGAGCTTACATGTGCAAAGAGGCTAATTGAGAAGTTGTGTGTGTGATGAACTAACATAAGGCTGGACACACTGTAGATGGACACACTGTAGATTTTGGTAATTAGGATTTCTGGATAAAGGGAATTTGGATAATTGGAATTATACTATAAAACCAAGCTCATAAATTAGGTTGATAGTTACATGTCTTTATACATGTCCATAGGTCCCTGAGTACTTGAGTGACGTATAGGCTTAAAAATAATAATATTGATAACAGCCTGGTTCTCCTTGTAAGGTAGCATATTATATATATGAAGCTCAAATTAATACAATTAAAGACACTGAGATTATAACATTGTCTGTCTGAGCTTTTATACCATAGTCATTACTAGTGTAACAGAGAGCTTTAATTGAAAGCTAAGTCCTCCCAACTACAACTTGAAGTAATGTATTTACTGAGCTGCCTGGAGCATTTTCTTTCAAAGTCACTCATACTTATATCACACCAAATGCATCCTTGAATGGTTGAATTTGGCCCATTCTATTTTACAGGACAGGGTCAATAACAGAAGAACGCGAGAACTGGGTGCGCATAGAAGAGATACTATAGTGACTCGGAAAGACATTGTGGTCTTTGCAAATCAATAAGAATCTTGCATGTTTTCTGAATATTTCATGAAGGTATTTCTTGAACTTTTCACCTACAAAAGCGTAGATCACTGGGTTCAGGCAGCAGTGGATGAAGGAGATAGTTTCAGTCACCTGCAGGGCCAGGTCTAGGCTTTTGCTCGTCTCGCAGTCATCTATGATGAGCAGGCTTCGCAAAGAGTCCAGAAAAAGCGCAATGTTGAAGGGTGCCCAGAAGAGGAAAAACACAACTACAACAACGAAAACCAGCTTCATTGCTTTATACTTGTTTCGGTTCACGCATCTCTGCAGATTTTTCATGATGCGGGAGTAGCAGAAAATGAGAGTGCCAAGTGGGATCAAGAGGCCCAAAACATTGACGTTGGAATTGGTGAAAAGTTTCCAAGTAGCCTTATTATCCTGGTAATAAGGAGCACACTTCACACTGCCATCTTCATTAAGTTCTTGGATAAAGAAGATATTTGGTATTGAAGCTAAAATGGCCACTGACCAAATGGCAAGGCTTATAACAATGCTGAGCAGGGTTGTTCGAACTTTCCGAGCGTACACAGCGTGGACAATGGCTAAGTACCTGTCTATGCTCATGAGGGTTATGAAGAATATGCTGCTGTAGAAGCCAATGTAGTAAACTCCACATATTGTTTTACACATTGCATTTCCAAAAGTCCATTGGTCTGAAGCATAATGAGCCAGGAAGGGGAGGGAGAAAACAAAAAGCAGGTCAGCGATGGCGAGGTTCAGCAAATACACATCAGTCATGCTGGTCAGTTTCTTGCAAAGTATCAGAACGCAAATGACCAAGCTGTTTCCCACCAAGCCGAACATGAACACCAGACAGTAAAGGACTGGAAAAAATACTGATCCAAAGATCTTGATGTTCTCTGTGCTGCAGACGGAGCCCAACTCAGGATAATAATCATCATAAAAAGTAGAGAGAAGATTGGACTCAGTTGAATTATTCATCATGAGGTGACCTGTTTAAGAGCACAGAATTTAATACAATCCAACAATCCTATTTTTTAGTAAGTATCTAGGCACAATTCTGCCCTGATATGCCACACAACCCCACTGAAGTCAACAGGGTTGCACAGGCTTAAAGGGGTAGAATTTGGTTCTGAGGACAGGCTAGCCTGTTCAGGTAAAGGAACACTTCACTCTGTGACATTATCTAATTAGAATATAATCATGCAAATCATTATTTCTACCACAGTTATATACTTGCAACAAATCTTATAAAGGGTGTAACATATGGCCGGAAAGGGTTAAGCATCCTGCAGGCTAATTAACCCAGAGTCAGCCTGTAGAGATATGTTAGAAATGGTCATTAAGGCCATTTGATGCTAGATAGGCTAGAACTTTGAAATGGAAACCTATATTGTTAAAGTTAGGGGTGATACTAATTGTATATGTGTACTCATAAATGTTAGCCATGGAAACAGACAGTTTCTGTCTGTCACTATAGCTATGGATTCAGAGATGAAAGGGAATATGAACATTTAGATAAATCTTGAGTGAAATAACGTCATTGTCTATATGTCTCTTTGAAGTTTGTGATATACTGCCTAATGAATAAATTGCCCTATGTTAATTTGTGTAACTAATTATTGGTGGTGTTTAGGAAGCAGAAGGTTACATCAAAAACCTATTGTTTGCCCAGGACAGGATGGTCAAGTGGATGCTAGAACACTGCATAAAAAGACCCTGTCATCTCAGATCTCCTTGATGCTTCAAAACAGAAGAAGCTTAAGCCACAAGATTGAGATCCCAGTGCTGACTGGTCCACCCTGAATATAATATTGGACATTGGACTATAACCTATGGACTAAAATCTAAAAGAGCTCTTTGCAACTATAAAGCTTACCATCTCTGCTATGAATCTGAACCTCAAGTATTGAACTCATGTCTGTACGTATATGGATCTTTTAACCATACTCTCTCTCTTTTCTTTTTAAATAAATTTTAGTTTAGTTAATAAGAATTGGCTGTAAGCGTGTATTTGGGTAAGATCTGGAATATGTATTAACCTGGGAGATAATGTGTCTGATCCTTGGGATTGGTAGAACTTTTTTATGTGATGAAATAAGTAGGGCTGTCAATTAAGCGTAGTTAACTCACGTGATTAACTAAAAAAAATTAATTGTGATTTAAAAAATTAATTGCGATTAATCGTACTGTTAAATAATAGAATACCAATTGAAATTTATTAAATATTTTTGGATGTTTTTCTACATTTTCAAATATATTGATTTCTATTACAACTCAGAATACAAAGTGTACAATGCTCACTTTATATTATTTTTATTATAAATATTTGAACTGTAAAAATGATAAAATATATAGTATTTTTCAATTCACCTCATACAAGTACTGTAGTGCAATCTCTTTATCACGAAAATTGAACTTACAAATGTAGAATTATATACAAAAAATAACTGCATTGAAAAACAAAACAATTAAAATTTTAGAGCCTACAAGTCCACTCAGTCCTACTTCTTGTTCAGCCAATCACTCAGACAAACAAGTTTGTTTACATTTACAGGAGATGCTGCTGTCTGCTTCTTATTTACAATGTCACCTGAAAGTGAGAACAGATGTTTGCATGGCACTTTTGTAGCTGGCATTGCAAGGTATTTACATGCCAGATATGCTAAACATTCATAGAATCATAGAATATCAGGGTTGGAAGAGACTTCAGGAGGTCATCTAGTCCAACCCCCGGCTTAAAGCAGGACCAATCCCCAGACAGATTTTTGCCCCAAATCCTTAAACGGCCCCCTCAAGGATTGAACTCACAACCCTGGGTTTAGCAGGCCAATGCTCAAACCACTGCCCATTCATGCTTGGGCTACCATTCCAGAGGATATGCTTCCATGCTGATGATGTTTGTTAAAAAACAATGTGTTAATTAAATTTGTGACACAACTCCTTGGGGGAGAAATGTATGCCTTCGGCTCTGTTTTACCTGCATTCTGACATACATTTCATGTTATAGCAGTCTTGGATGATGGCCCAGCATATGTTTGTTTTAAGAACACTTTCACAGCAGATTTGCTAAAACACAAAGAAGATACCAATGCGAGATATCTAAAAATAGCTAGAGCACTCGACCCAAGGTTTAAGAATCTGAAGTGCCTTCTAAAATCTGAGAGGGATGAGGCATGGAGTTTGCTTTCAGAAGTCTTAAAAGAGCAACACTCAGATGTGGAAACTTCAGAACCTGACCACCAAAAAAGAAAATCAACCTTCTGCTGGTGGCATCTGACTCAGATGTTGAAAATGAACATATGTCGGTCCACTCTGCTTTGGATTGTTATCAAGCAGAACCCATCCTCAGCATGGACGCATGTCCTATGGAATGGTGGTTGAAGATGAAGGAACATATGAATCTTTAGTGCATCTGGCACGTAAATATCTTGTGATGCCAGCTACAACAGTGCCATGCAAACACATGTTCTCACTTTCAGGTGACGTGAACAAGAAGCGGGCAGCATTATCGCCTGCAAATTGTAACCAAGTTTGTTTGTCTGAGTGATTGGCTGAAGTAGGACTGATTGGACTTGTAGGCTCTAAAGTTTTACATTTTTATTTTTCAATGCAGTTACTTTTTGTACATAATTCTACATTTGTAAGTTCAACTTTCATGTATGAGGTGAATTGAAAAATACTATCTTTTGTTTTTTACAGTGCAAATATTTGTAATAAAAAATAAATATAAAGTGAGCACTGTACACTTTGTATTCTGTGTTGTAATTGAAATCAATATATTTGAAATGTAGAAAACATCCAAAATATTCAAATAAATGGTATTCCATTAATGGTTAACAAGGCGATTAATCACCATTAACTTTTTAAATTGCTTGACAGCCCTAGAAATAAGATTTTCATTAATCTTCAACTTATCTAACTTGGGTAACTAGGTGAAGGCCTGAGGCTGGGTTGCTTTAAGGGAACTGTGTTGTTGGCTTCTGAGTAGCCAGTGAGGTATTTTAGAAGCTGTTTAGTGCTGACTTGGTAAATCTAAGTATTAGAATATCCACCAGCTTTGGGGATTGTCAGCCCCATTCTTTGCAGTTCACCCTAATTGAGTGACCTCAGCTGGCTCCCCCTGGGACTTCGGTCACACGCCCTCATATGATGCCTAAACCAAATTAAAGCTTTTTTGAGGTTTGAAAATATTTGGCTAGCTTTTGGGTTTCATTAGATTTATTTTTTGTGAGCATCTGCACTTTCAGTTATTATTGCCAAAATCCCATGAGAGAGGCTGTTCCCCAATGCTTAATTTGTACCAGGCCTGCGTCCTGACACCTCATAGCCCCCACACCTCTGGGATTGTCGTGTCATTTATGAAAGGAAAAAAAAATTACTTGAGCCCCAGCTCCTCTTTCATTACAAATAAAGCACTTCCATTTCCATGAAAATGAAAAGAGGAAATATTGAGAAGCCCATGAGAGAACGTCTCATGGGGTTTCCTACTCAGTTTTACCAGTGATGCTGCGAGGGAGACAGGCTAGCATTGGGGAGACACTGTATTTGTGACTGGGTGGTGTGTCAGGGACATGGTGTGTTTCCATGAGAAGCGGAACACCAAATAGTATGTTAGTGAGCAGAAGAATTTCGAGATTCTGGTTATCTAGAAAATTGCACTGAGACCCAAATCCTGTCCCCAGCGCTCAGCCTGAATGAATGGTACTCAGGAGGATTCCCAGTCACTGTGCATCCTGTCCAGGGGGTTAAGGAGCCAGGGTTATTTAATGGTGCATAATTAAAGCAGCAATAAAACGGAGGTAGTGAACACGCCAAGCGCCCTATTGTTTATCATTTCCTTGTTTCTAAATTTTTTTTTTCAGAAAGGGCAGAGACAGCTGTGCTCACTGAGGACTTCACACATCCAGCCTGAGATTTCACACAAAGTCTATTTAAAATTATGAGTGGGAAGAAAAAAAAAGCATCTGATTTTTTTTCTAGTAGGTGACGACTATTTTTCCCCAGGACTTCAGCCTTGCTAGTGCCATGCTATAATATGCGGCTTTCTAATTTACTAGAGATGAACAGTTAACTTGACAAATATATTTTGTAAATTACAAGCTCTGAACTCTGGATGTAATTATCTTTTCTTCTATAGCACGTGTGGAGGAGTTTCTATAAAGTGAAGATGTTAATTTGAACTCAATCGCTCTCTCTCATATAGGCAGAAACAAACACTGAGTCTGCAGTTGCCAAGTCTTGTCAAGCATTTTTTTTAAAACATGCATGGCCAAAATTTTCACATGTCAGTGCCCAAACCTATGTTTGTATTTAGGTATCTAAATAAAAGTAGCCATTTTTCAGAAGAGATGAGCATTGCTAATGTTCTTGAAATCAGTGAGAGTTGTCACTGCTTAGCAGCACTGCAAACCTGGTCATTTTTATTTAAATATACCTAAATATTGATGTAAATGCCTAACTTAAGGCAAATTTGACCTATCTAGCTTGTTTATTTTAATGTAATCCCCCAGATGACCCAGTCATCAAGGAGGGTCAATACAAACAAACCCGAGTCCGAATTTCCAAAGTCTTCTGAAGTTGCCTCATGCATCTAATCCCAATCTGACTACAGAGCAGCAACGTATCATCTTGGTAAATAAAAATAAAGGTAAAGGCCTCGATTCTACACTGTGTTATGCTCGTACTGGAGAGTGGCAGCTTCAGGGAATGTGTTGCAGCTCCCTGATGCTTGGCCAACTGACCCCCTTAAACATTAGAACAGCAGGGGGCCAACTCTAACTTCTGCCACTGGTGTAAGTTACATCTGTGGCGGCTCAGGAGTAATAGAGGCTCTGCTCCATCATGTCCCCTGCAGTCAAACCAACTGCTGTTTTCGTGCCCTTATATAAGAATGGGAGGGGAAGGGGAAACACAGTTGATGAAGAGGGCAGCAGACCCTCCTCTGACAGTTTTCCAACCACTTGAAGAGTTGCGGGGAAGCTCCACCAGCTCTCTCGCTGGTCATTTTAGTGCCATTT